AACGCCATTTGGGGTTACCTTTTTCAACCTAAATATAAAAATGCTACTTTCTTTCGCGCGTTCGGTTTGGTCGTAGTTTTATTTTTATATTTAATAAAAGTTATCTTATAGTCCATTATTTTCAAATTCTTAAAAAGAAAAACAAAACGTATTATTTTATAAAGTATAACTGTATAAGAACAGATTACAATACTGTTATTGCCTGTTATTGTTAGCGCAGCACTACAAATATAAAGCGCTGACATAACCTTGTAATAGCGCAGTATAGATTTAGAAAAATATTGTTTACCAAGTTATTTGACACTCAGTTTGGCACAAAATTATAACATTCATTGATTATTGATATAATAATGTTGTTTTAATGCTCATCAAAACGGTAAACAACCAGCAAAAATATTTTTATCGTAACTGCAACGCCATTACAAAGTTACGTCGTCAGTTCAATCGCGACGTGTCAGGAACGCATTCTCTGAACGGCCGAACTATAACATATTTAACTAAATATGCGTAACGCCGAAATGTAAGAGGGCTCTTAAAGAGTTTATCTCGTCTAAGGAATTTTATGTTGGGATCCATCAGTAGTTTTCACCACGATTACACCATCCTGAGTCCAGCAATCTCGCATACCAAAATGCTGCCAGGCTTTAACGTGGAACAGCTTGCTGTATCTTTGTCAAGAACTTTTTAACCGCAACGGATAAACTTTTAGCTTGGACTTTGCCCTCCACACCATGTTCTATACTCACTGTCAACAAACCGTACTAACATTTGAACCATTGATTTTTATTGAAAACATCATTTTTTTTCGTGATGTAAATCATGATTTAAATCAAAATGATTTATTCATGCCAACCCTACATCTTGCAATGCAATATAGATAACTTCATAATTCTTTGGATTTACATAAAAGGTTATTTTAAATCTTTTTAGTGCGCTTGTACAAAGTTATTGCGGAATGATTAATGTGAAACGTCAAAAGGTATTTCTTAAATTTAGTTGAATAATAAGTCTAAAATGAGATAACTCACAGTATGTAATTATCGCCTTTTTAAACAAAAAAAATATCTATAGAAAATTGATATCTAAAGAAAATTGAGAATACCATTAAATTTTCGCCATTTAATTTTTTCATAGCAAATAGGACCTTGAAGAACTTAAGTTTCTAATAATTATAAATCGCCGTGTAGTTGCGGCATAAGAGTACACTTCCCCTTGTCTTCCCATGTATGTCATAGGAAAACTAAACAGAAAATGGGCCACAGCATATTCCTGAGAACTCCTAATAATAAAAAACTCCGGTTGCCAAACCGCCTGTCAAGGATTGCACCTAAGGCAAATATTCTCCCTTTAAAGCAATTTATGGGGCAGGCCTATGTTTAGCTACGGACTTTTGATAGGATAATGTTGATGATGATGAATTACATAATTGCGCATCGAATGAAACCTTAGTACGCGAGGTGTAAAATTTGTCACGAACTATTATAACGTCCCGTTCTAAGGACAGTGGAGATGTGTCACGATTTAAACTATGAAAAATCAGACCCGCGATGTTATTCTACTGGGAAGTTCTAAAAGGTACGAAGGGTAGTACCAATACAGATGTACCTTATAGAAAATCAATCCTACAACCTTTTGTTTTGCTTATTTGATATACGAAGTATTTTATGCAGCTTATTAGACATGTGTCGTTCATTTCTTTCTAGTGATCAGATCATTCAAGTAATGATTCGTCTTATGAACCGGGTCATTTGGAGTCGATCATTCAAATGGATACTTTCGAGTTTCAGTACTATGTGATCTGTGCGACCCGTTCTATTGTCGGTCGTCGGACATTACTATACTTATTAACCGTAGATGCTGTTAATCGTTGGATCCGGAACGTTTAAAAATATAATTGCAATCATCAATATTTCATAGACTGCCTTATAGGTGGTATTTTGCCATAGTTGCCACGCTTGGCAAACATAATGCCCATTTTCTGTTTCATTTCCCTTTTACGATAGATACTCAGTATTTTAGTGGATTCTCTTACGCCCTCAAGACATGGCGACATCGCTTCCCGGCTTTTTCGCTAAGAAGATAGAATGTTTTCAATTTACTCCAAAAAAGGAGAAGGTTCTCAATTCGACTGTACTTTTATTGTGTTACCTCAGAACTTTTTACTATGTGAACCGATTTGATGATTGGAAAGCTAGTGCTCCTCACGTGATCCAGTAGTTTTTGAGTTATACTTATTAAGCCGTGGTAGCTCAGATGGTTAACGATTGCTGTAAATATAACAGAACGCTAGCTCGATAGGGTTCGATCCCCGCCGGCACCAATGAAATTGTTAATTGCAATTTTAAGTGCTGATTCACCACGTGCTCGGCGGTGAAGGAAAAAATCGTGAGGAAACCTGCATGCCTGAGGAATAAGAAAAAAAAATAGTTCGAAGACATGTGAAGTTCGCCAACACGCATTGGGGCAGCGCAGCGGACACTTCTTTGCGCTAAAACCCTCTCAGAAATGAGGGGAGGCCTGTGCGCAGCAGTGGGACGTATATGGGTAAGGCCGTAGATTTTGCCACTTAGTAACATAGAGTAACATAGACACTTTTATGTTACGGTAACATAGAAGTAACGCGAAAGTAACGTGTAATGTTTGTAAGGCCGATTGCATAACGCGCTATTTTTAGCCGACTTCAAAAAAGGAGGAGGTTTCGACGCATAAGCTAACTGTACAATTCGCCAACTGTGAGAAGTTCAGTGATAGAAAAAAAATAAGTTGAAAAATGTTTAAAACTATCAACAGCTTAGAGTTATTACACAACCATGAAATCTGACCAAGTTTACCAAATATCAGGAAAATAATACTACGATATAAGTGAAGTAACAAAAATATTTAATGTCATGGATAGAGTTTCTCAAAAACTCTTCTAACGAAAACAAAAAAAAAACGAAATAACATTCATTATAATATGATTTAAACCTATAAAATAAGCTTACACAATGAGATCAATAGTGTTTCGTGAAATCACAAAATTAGAACAATATAATCTTTCTCTAAAAGTTTTTACAATTATCACACGGGTTATCTTCTTAAATAAAATAGTAGGTACATTTCTAGGAAACTAACTAATACTGGTATTTATTTTGTTATAAAATCGACACGAAATGTTTCTTAGAATCTGTAGTTAAAAAATACTTTAGAAATACGAGTACGTAATTACAACAAATTTAAAATTAAAAAAAAATCTCGTAGCCAAATGAAATAACATAAAAAAGTAAAAACAAAAACTACATAATTCTCTTTAACCTAGGTACAGACGCCAGAACATCAACCTACCCCAATCTGTCAAATTTTCTCAATCGAACATGAACCGTCTACTTTTGTGGTAAAGTTGAAAATCTATTAAAGAAATTTGACAGATTGGAGTGGGCTAATGTGCTGGCGTCTGTACATAAGAGGTCATTGCAATACAAAACCTTTCTTACACCTTATAAATAAATATTCAACAATTAAAATAAACCAAATCAATATCGGTACTCGGGTAATATTCTTTAGAGGCTTTCTCCCATTGAATCAAATTTACCTTTTTGACGATAGAAATATTGGTCACTGTATCAATATCTGATTTTCTTTGGACTACAAACTTCACGGGATCAGATAAATCCTTCACAGTTTTCAAAAATTTTACTTTATAATAATTTTCTCCGTTCTTAAATTCTATATTCTCAACAAATCCTATAAAATATTTCCACGTTTTCCTTTGGAAATATCGAACTATTATGCTATCATTTATATTTAAAATAAAGTTCTGCGTATTTTCTTCACTCTCAATTGCTTTTTTTCCTTCTTCCTTTGTATTCGATTCCTTGTCACTTTCATCTTCTTTTAAATTCTCAGATTTGCTTATTTTATCTAAATCTGTTTTCTTCATTTGTTTATATTTATCTGCGTCTTGTAAAACTTCACCAGTATTATTTTGTCCTCTCATGCTTTCAAGTTGTTTTTTATATTCAGTCTCAATTGTATAATTTTCTTTATTTTCATCAGCTTCTTTTCTCTCTTCTTCTGCGATAACAATTAGAATTTCCTTGCTTTCATCTTTCTTAGTACATTCAATCTCAATTTTGTGCTTCTCTTCTGTTAGAAACTTTTCTTTCAAATTCTTTTTTGATCTCTTCTTTGGTATCATTTTTGTTTTCCCTGTTCTGGTCGATTTTTCTTTTATCAGTCTCAATTTTGTTACTTCTTATTTCCTTTATCGGGTCTTCTTTTCCAAATAAATAACTCTCTCTTAAATCATAACTCGCAGTATTTTCCGGGTTTTTTCTTATTTGTGACAAAATTGTCACATCATCTTTCCCAGTAACATGTTTCGTAGTTTCGCAAAATCTTTTATGGATTAAATCTTCATTTTCACAAATTATTTTTCTTTTCCTTTCATGTTTAGGAATTATTTTCAGCATTAGGTTTCTTTAAAATTATTGTGGATAGCAGAGTGACTCTCTTGTTTGGATTAATTTTTTGGCCTCAGAACACCTGTTTTTTCGTCAAGTTCTGTGATTAGATTGTTTTCATCGTCGTTAAAATCTGGAATTATTGACTCATCAGAAAAAAACGCCGAGGCGTCGCTTTCCGCATACTCAATACTATCATCATATTCATCTTCTTCGGTTGATGAACTGAAACGCCTTCGCCTAGTTTTATTGCTATTCTTTGAATTTTTAACTTCCTTTTTCTTTTCACATTTTTCTTTTTTATTCGATGTGTGTTTTTCGTTTGCGTAAATAGTGGGCAAAAAGCTATGAGCTACAGGTGAGTGACATTCACAGTTGCCTCTTGTTTTCAGTTTATATTTTTTCACAATGTTGTTATCCAAAACTTTTCTCAAAACATTCTTTTCGGTATTGTTAGCAGTTTAGAATTGTAATTTTAGTGACTTCGTTAGTACATCGAGTTCTATTAGTTTCTTATTAACTTCTTCTTTTTTAGGAGTTTCAATGTTAGGTATGTTATTATTTATGAACTCTGTTACTTCTTTCATCGGTGTTTTCTCTTCTAATTCTCGCGTATATTGTGTCCTTTGTTTCATCTGTCGTGATTAATCTAGTTAATAAATTTTCGTAATCTGCCTGCATCATATTCGTTTTTTTCTGAAGACTTTTGAAACCTTTAGTCAATGTGTTTAACTGTAATCTCAGTTGTGCAGTTTCTTGTTTCAGTCTGTATTCAATTCGGCGTTGCATATTACGGCAAGTTAATTGGTTATTATCTTGCTTGGAATTTGAAGTATGTGCCGTACCGGGTTCAATTTGTGATGCCATTTTTGCATCTTTTGCTTTTTTCCGATCTTCCTTCCATTTATTCCGTAATTCTTGTTGTGCTCTTCAGTATAGGTACTCTTTTTTTCTCATAGTAACGTGCAGATCTTTCTTTGGCCTTCTTTTGTATTTCTTTATACTTTTGAGGGTTTTCTTTTTTTAACTTATCGCGATATTTTTTCTGCTTTTCAGCTGCAGTCGTCGGCGGCATCTGTGACAATGTTTATATTGTTTTATTGCAATCAGAAAAGTAAAGGGATAGTATGGTTTAAGGGCTTTAATTCATTCATACAGTCATGTTTAATACATTGACTAAGGGTCACACTACCCGCCTCGCAACACATTTTTTTGTACGTATGTATCTCTCTTTAACGCTAATCGACATCCTTTGCTAGAAAGAGAAGACCGTTTGCGCGAATGTCGAAGTAAACATTAAAAAAGTAAAAACAAACTTAAAAAAAAATACGTGGTAAACAGTTAGATTTGGTTTAATTTTTAGAAACAATTGGCATTGATATCCTTAATTGTTTTTCACAAAAGATTAAACTTTATTCTTTTTGAAGTCGTTTTTTACTTTTTTTGAGTTTATTTCATTTTTCCACTTAGTGGCACAAAAATATGGTTTAAAAACCTATCTTTTTTAGTTTCCACGAATGTCCAAACTACTTAAATGACACAAATTAATTAAGGCAAATAAACTACTCTTGTCTTATGTGTTATTTGAATTTCCTAAAACAATCTATACCAATAAATAAAAGTATACGAGTAGCTAATTAGTAACTGCTTGGAAACCAAATAAAAAAATGCCCTCTGTATATCAAATAAAAAAATTACTGAGTTGATTTTTCATTACTCTACATGATCAAAACTTTAAAAAAAAGGTAGATATTTTTTACAAAAAAAGTATATTTAATAAATTACATATGCACAAACCTTTACAACAGTAAAACGTTATGAAACATACAATCAACGTTACCAGTGACATCAAAGCTACATAGAAGTAACGTTAAAGTGCGATTTTTCAAGGTTATAAATAGACATAACTCGACATCAAGGTGAATTATAAACAGAGACACATTTCCACGCACTTATTAGTTACTCGTGCATAATAATATATAATATGTGAACAATAAAAACTGATATTTACACAATTAAAATTCACTGCCGAAACACACGCGTGCACCAATGACAGACTTCCGACACGACAAGATGGCGTCTTTTTTTTTAAATTGTGCTGCCTGAATACTTAGTGTTGCCAGTGCAATTACAAAACACTATCAAACTGTTTTCAATGCTTTGTAAGGGAAAATTTTGGTAACATACAAAGTAGTAACGTAGAAGCAAAAATATGGAACATAAGTTTAAATAGTAATAAATCTATAAAAAAAACGCGTTATTAAAGACATGAAAAGCACGATGTAGTAGCTTACTATTAAGAAATTTCAGATAGTCACAAATTAATTAAACGTTCATTACAAAAATATAAGTTTTATAGTTTAAATGCTAAAAAGACAGCATGTTTTTCGTTAAATTTGGGAGTCTGGACGAATTTAACTCGTATTTTTTTAATGTACAACTTATATTAATATTAAGAATATGTTGTAAGAGTTTAAGAGATGTATAACCTAATTAAAATACCTCCATTACAATTTACCCACTACGTTGTTTTCTATAAGCAATGAAAATATGAGAATATTTTTTTCATCAAAAAGTGGCAAAAACGACGGCCTTACCCATATAGGCTGTAATTTTACTTTATTTTACTTTTACTTATTAAGGCGTATTTAACTGACTGCGCTACATTGATGATGTTCTCATTTTGTTTATATTGAAGTGGGTGGTACAGTGTTTAATTTTAACACTTGTTTTCCATTTCAGTGGAAACAATATCCGCGGCGCAGCCTAGTGGACACGTGCACGTCATGGGTGGGCGGATGCCTGCGGCGCGCGGGGCTGGCCGACGGCGCCGAGCGCCAGCTGCCGCCCTGCGTGCGAGCTGTAGCGCCTTCATCCCGGGCGGCCTTCCCTCTCGCCTTCGGGCACAGCACGCGCTATATCGCACCAGGCGTCGCGCTTGTCGGGTGAGTAATGTAACGCTTCGATCAATCGTGTCGTAATAGTAGTAGTCATTTTTTTATAAAATAAGACAAACGAGCACACAGTCCACCCACACGTGGATGCTGTAGCCCATATATTAATACATCTATCCTCGATTAAAAGTCAAAATCAGGGGGGGTACACTTCCATACTTTAGGTTGGGGTCCAATAATTTGCAGACACTAGTGCCATCTTATACATTGTCCGCATAAATTTCGAACGTTAGTTTCTAAAAGGTGCGCTAGATGGCGACTACACCGATTCTGGTTATTCTCGAACTGGCAAGTAGCAACTTTATATGACATAATCATAACTAATGGCTACCGGCCCGGCGTCTGAGCAAGTTGTTGTCTTATTATAGTTTCTAAGTGATTTTCGGATGTTGCTACAATAAGTTTGGTTGAGTTGGGATTAGCCCTCTGTTTCTTGTTGTCTGTTTAGATTTTAATGCTGGAACAACATTGTATGTTTGTGTAATGTTGTGCGAAATAGACGCTTTCATTTATCATTCCGTAACCCGGTGGACATATTTAATTTGGTTTGGTGTTGTATTTTGCGGAATGAACGCTTTTACATCGTGTATGTTATATATATATATATATATATCACAAAAATAAATGTTAATATTACTGAAATCTACAATACGTCTTTAATTGAACCCTAATCCCTTAAAATATAAATATAACCGCCTATAGTATAGATAGCCGTATATACATAACTACATACAACTATCTATAGTCAACATGATATTGAGATTAGTTCAAGGGATATGATACCAGACGGCGACACTATTCATATTGGGTGACAAAAAATCCTAGGAGATGGCTCTCTATTTCTGTATATATTACTCTACTCTATGGTCAAAATGCAAATACGTTGCCACCTCTGAGGACTAAGATGGAATACCTCGTCACCATTAAAATGGGTCTCCGGTCTCCGGTCTCCGGTACTTTACTTACCATACGAAACGCAGTAGCATTGAGCTGCTATTTTTCGCTGGTATTGTGAGTCGTTTCCCGATTGAGCCGACCTTTCATACTACAAACCATTAATATAACTGCAGCGTGGCTCTACCACGTATAACTTTTGAGGTATAATGTCATTTAAAAAAAACCGAAACATCCGGTATGTTTCGGTTTTTTTTGCCTGAAGAAGTTATCGCTTCAAATGTTAATGTTAATTATGAGGCAAACTATGGGCTAACTATTTATATTTTTTTGACAGGCTATAATGATAATACGTGTAATATTTACAGAGACGCCGCTCACCGAGTCCATCCGTTAGCTGGACAAGGCGTTAACCTTGGCTTTGGTGACGTAAAGGACTTGACTGACTTCCTCGCTGATGCGATATACACCGGCTTAGATATCAGTAAGTTTTGTATTTTAAATGTAAGCTGAGACAAGTGCTCATTGTAAAATTTGTAATTTCAAGATCTAATATATATACCAATTTACGTGGTACAGCCATGCTGCAGCTGTATTAGTATGAGTATAATGAGTCGGCCCGACCGGGGAAAGACTACACTCTCACAGAATACCGGCGTAAAATAGTAGCTTAACCCTGCTGTGTTTCGTATGGTGAGTGTAGAGAACCGGAGACCCTTTTTACTGGAAATGAGGCATTCCATCTTATTCCTCACGGGTGACAACGCATCTGCGTTTTGATTCGTATCTGAGGATAGATGTAGATGTCTATGGGCCACAGCAACCGCTTAACAACAGGTGGACTGTGTGCTCGTTTGTCACCCTATCCTATAAAAAAGAAATCTAACTTACCATGTGCTCAATGGTGAAGAAATAAATCATAAGGAAAACTGCATGTCTTAGAAATAACATATTACGGAGGCATGTAAAGCCCGCAAACAAATACAGATATCGCAGACTATTTGCTCCATAACCCTCTCAGAAATGAGAGGCCTGAGGACAGCGGTGAGACGTCTATAGGCTGTAACTTTATTTTAGGGTTACAATGTATCATCATAAAAAAAACCGGACAAGTTCGACTCTGGCTCGCGCACCGAGGGTTCAAACAACTCGTAGGTAAATTGATAATTTCTCCATGATGTTATATGTATAACTACAACATTGTGATCCTCAAGGCGAGAGTGATTTGGGATTTCAAGGATCCGTGTACTACTTCTTCGACGTTATTATACAGTTACTTTTACCAAAATATTTAACATTACTTACGGAGGTTCATAACTTCATATACTATGAAAACATTTGGAGGACGTACTTAACTTTGTAGTTGAAAAAATGTTCTCCCATACATTGATATACGACACGGTGAATTCTCCAACTGCAAATGTAAGTTTGTAATCGCAAAAAAACGTTTTTACGTTAAATGTTTTATGTTAAACTAAAAATTAAATATTTTCATACTCTTCCTTAACTTGTGCTGTGTGACCTTGTTTATTTACTAATTTCATGATTCTTGGTCAACCGGAAGTACAATATCTAAAATAGTAGAGTTTTTAACAAGTTATTTTTTTACATTTAGTATTTAAAAAAATAATCATAATCGCGCATTGTCATCGAATTTGAGCTATATTCATAATATCAATTTTCCAGCTCAACGAGAAGTTAGTTTAAAATCACTAAGTAAATTCTACCCGAACGACTGACAGATAAACTAACAAGAAAGTGACTCCACAAGCATTGATTGTGAACCGTAATGATCCTAGTGAAAACACAAGGTCATACTCACGAAATTATTGTATTATCATCAGTTCTTATGCGAGGTAATGTTACAATTTCTTTGTTCCTTTCTTATGTTGTAAACATGGATTTTGGCGTGTAAAAGCGGTGCAACAGAATTCATCACCGCATTACCACTATGGAAAATGAAAAGTAATCTTAGGGCTTTCAAGTATAGTAAGTTTACGAACAAGTTTACGCGCGAAGTAAAACACCCAGAACGGCGGCGTGCTTCAGCGTTAAAGGTGAAAGACGTCCGGTACTGTGACCGTCAATTCGCCTTATTTATTAAGGAAACTCCCCCCTATAACGGGCAGGAGCCATGCACAGCCGTTGACTCTTAAGAGCTGATGACGATGCGCAGATTTCAAAGAAATGTCGTTTCATTTGTTACACTTTTGAGTTAATAGTTTTGTTCGTTCACATAAAAATGAGTGCGTGTAACCTGTACAAATTCTGTCGAACCAAACTGTCGCATATTCAAAATATAGGTTGTTTTAGTGCCAAAAATGTGCCTGTGTTCGATATATTATAAACTCTTATTAACCCTGGACAAAATCCGGAGTTAATTCGAAGTAAGTTATCACGCTTTAATCTACTGAGAAGGACAGAAGAACGTCTGTCGGGCAAGCTAGTTTATATGTACATAAAAATCAATTGCTGTTAATTAATATCAATCAATACAACAGCCAATCTGCTTACATATATTATAGACTTAATAATAAACTAAATATTTACCCTATAACATATCTTGAATGTAAAAAGACAATAGAGATATGGTTAATAACTAAAAACTATGAAGAAATCGAGAGTATCATTCATCACTCATAAGCGTAACTGAGTGCTACGCAACCTTTAGTGACAGTTATAGAAAGTTATTCATTGAACAATGATAATTTCGGATCCCAAAGCACAGTCGTAGGGCTAATATACTAATATGTATTATATTCCACACAATAAAAATAATTTACAAGGGTACATATTGGTACATGTTGGAGAGGTCTCGTCTAATGAAGTCAACGCTCCGTCCCCCCTCGTGCTCTGATCCAAAATCCCGAAAACTTTCAGCTCGAGTTACACAACCGCTTTCAGTGCCTACAAGATTGCAATGCAGTGGACGATATGAATGACAAGCTCGTGGAAACTGTCCATGCGGTCGGAGCTAAGTTCTGCAAGACCCGCCGCAGAAGAACACAAAAACTCTCCGATCACACTCTTAATCTCATGGCTGTTAGACGGGAGATGAGGCTGCAATCGTCAACAGATTTGACAGCATACAGGCAACTGAACAGACAGATCTCCAAATGCATGCGGCGAGACTTACGCAACTTTAATACTGCTCGTATTAAAGAAGCGATCGAGCGGAACCAGGGCTCCAAAGTCTTTGCCAGAGATCTATCTGCCAGAAAGAGCCAACTGTCAAGGCTGAAGACTGAGTGTGGCAGCATCGTTTCCGGGACACCTGAGATTTTGAGTGAGATTGAGAGGTTCTATGGGCAGCTGTACACATCATCGTTGGAGCCACACGCAAGTGTGAGTAACGATCCAAGAGCAAGTCTTATCCGACACTATTCCGATGATATCCCGGACGTCAGTCTAAGCGAGATTAGAATGGCTCTCCAGCACCTTAAAAACGGCAGGGCCCCAGGCGAGGATGGAATTACAGCGGAGCTTCTGAAAGCGGGTGGAACACCGGTACTTGAAGTCCTTCAGAAGCTCTTCAATTCCGTCCTCCATGGTGGCACTACTCCAGAGGCGTGGAGCAGAAGTGCGGTGGTCTTGTTCTTTAAGAAAGGCGACAACGCTCTCTTGAAGAACTACAGACCGATTTCCCTTCTGAGCCGCGTCTACGTGCTGTTTTCGAGAGTCATTACGAATCGTCTCGCACGCAGACTCGACGACTTCCAGCCTCCCGAACAAGCCGGTTTCCGAAAAGGCTTCAGTACCATAGACCACATACATACCCTGCGGCAGATTGTACAGAAGACTGAAGAGTACAATTTGCTACTTTGCCTGGCGTATGTGGACTATGAGAAAGCCTTTGATTCCGTCGAAATTTGGGCGGTGCTGCAGTCCCTTCAGCGGTGCCAAGTTGACTGTCGGTATATTGAAGTGCTGAAGTGTTTGTACAGTAGGGCTACGATGGCTATCCGAGTACAGAACCAGAGCTCGAAACCTATCCAACTGCAGAGAGGTGTAAGACAGGGTGACGTTATATCCCCGAAACTCTTCACCGCTGCTTTGGAAGACGTTTTCAAGCTACTGGACTGGAAAGGATACGGTATTAACATCAATGGCGAGTACATCACTCACCTTCGATTTGCCGACGATATAGTCCTTATGGCAGAATCGCTGGAGGACTTAAGCACTATGCTCAATGACCTCAATAGTGCCTCCCAACGGATAGGTCTTAAGATGAACATGGACAAAACAAAGATTATGTTTAATGTCCATGTCACACCTATGCCGGTAGTTGTTGGGAGCACTATGCTCGAAGTTGTTGACGAGTACGTTTACCTGGGACAAATAGTCCGACTAGGTAAGTCCAACTTCGACCGAGAGGTCAATCGACGGATTCAACTCGGCTGGGCAGCGTTCGGGAAATTACGACATATCTTCTCGTCAGGTATACCTCAATCTCTGAAAACTAAAGTGTACAACCAGTGCGTGTTGCCAGTGATGACTTACGGATCAGAGACGTGGTCCTTCACTGCTGGCCGTATGAGGACGCTCAAGGTCGCTCAGCGAGCTATGGAGAGGGCTATGCTCGGAGTTTCTCTGCGTGATAGACTCAGAAATGAGGATATCCGCAGTAAAACCAGATTGACCGACATAGCCCAACGGATTAGTAAGCTGAAGTGGCAATGGGCCGGCCATATAGCTCGAAGAACCGATAACCGATGGGGAAGAAAGGTTCTCGAGTGGCAGCCTCGTACCGGTAGGCGTAGTGTAGGGCGACCCCCCACTAGATGGAGTGACGACCTGGTAAGATATGCAGGAAGTCGATGGATGCAGGTGGCTCAGGACCGTGCTTTGTGGCATTACTTGGGGGAGGCCTATGTTCAGCAGTGGACTTGTGAAGGGCTGTGATGATGATGATGATGATGTACATATTCAACACGTACATACAACACGCACCCACATGCACGTACACACATACACACACATACACCTATTTTGGAACTCTAAATTCGTACCATAATATAACAATCTGCCTGTATTATTTTATACTACTATAATTTTATAACTAATTTTCTATTATTTTTCACCTCAACTTAATGTTATATACCCATTGTTTGGAAGAGCTGTGCTTCCTAGTACAAGCAAATCCTTTGCTTAAAAGGAAACTGCAGCCACAATATGCGATGTAATAGATTACTACTAGTTATGCAATAAAGAATTTGAATTTGCCAGTTAGTCGCGCTAAAAGTCAAAAATGGCTCGAATAATTTTGATGAAATTTTTTGTGTATTTGCGTGGGATAGTTTAGATTCACAATTAGCCCCAAAGACGGGGCCGATTGCTAATATATTTCTATAAATCATACGCACGATATATACTAAAGTCAGTCGCTTTCTTTACAAATACGGAAACTGTTCAGATTGAACATAGATATTCTCCTTGGAAAAGATCAGGCGCCACCCTCAAGGATAAGTTTAACTGCAAATACGACATTGTATGAACTTAAAACGTTTCTGTGTAAAATAAGTTGACTTCTAAAGATTTTTGAAGTTGCTTAAAATGACAGAATATCCTAGTCACTGTGGATATTTGTTTTAACATGTTTCTCTTTGTTTGCAGCGCATCATACCTGGTTAGAAAAATATGAGAGTTCCCGACAGAGGCACAATGTGCCCACACAGTTGGCCATCGACGCTTTGTACCGACTTTATAGTCTGGACATAGCTCCATTGGTCTTAGCCAGGAGTGTGGGTTTACAGCTTACCAACGCACTGCATCCGGTCAAAGTAAGTTTAACATAGATTTTCTCACAACAAATTTTTCGAACACGTATACAAATACATGCTATTAAATTAAGATTTAGTTAAAAAAATTCAATCAATTATAATGTAATGCATGCTGCAGCTATATTATAGTTGTAGCACGATTGGACCACTGCTCGACCGAGCAGGACCACCATCTAATAGAATACCAGCTTAAAATAGCAGATCAATGCTGCTGTGTTTCCTATAGTGAGTGTAAAGAACCGGATGCCTTTTTACTGGAAACGAGGTATGCCATCTCAATCCTCAGGGGTGACAACGCATCTGTATTTTGATTCTTAATCGAGGATAGATAAAGGTTTCTATGGGCCGTAGCTTCCACTTACCATCAGGTGGAGCGTGTGCTCGTTTGTCAACTTAATCCATAAAAAATATTTTGTATATTAATTGTTTGTCATTACTACAAATACGGTTTCTTTTAGTCAGTAATTAAGAATGACAGCACAGCACTGACTGCATAACAGAGTCAATATTGTACTCCAAAATTCAATTTCTGTTGCTAAACTACAATATTATAATATAATAATTAATTGAAACATAAGCATATTATATCTATTATTTATTGATCTTTATCCATATTGTTACGAGCTTGAGGTTCGTGACAAAAAAATTGCCGACAGAATTACCTAAATTAACACTTTAATTTTCTTTACACCAATTAAAACTTAAAACACTAACAATTAATCACACTGATTCACTTTATTCCGCTCCGAAGCTTCGCTTGTCTCGCCAAATTCAATACTTCCCCGATCGCACCTTGCAGCGCCTATAAATACACATTAGTACCGAATTCATTTTCTGGAAAGCTCTCCCCTCGCTTCGTTACCCGACACTAGATGGCGCTAGTGCCAGATGTCAACTTAGCCGCGCAACAATATGATAAGATTTATTGGCGGGTTTACTTCTTGGGGCATTTTCTACAGGTCAATTTCACCTTTGTGTGGAGATGCAGAGATAAAAAGAAGTAGATGTAGAAATTTATAATATATATTAAAATTTTAAGTATAAATTTGTACGTGGCGGAGCCACGCTGCAGCCATATTATGGTTGTAGCACAAATGGGTCGGCTCGACCGAGGAAGGACCAAGCTCTCACAGAATACAAGCGTAAAATAGCAGCTTAATACTGTTTCGTATGGTGAGTGTAGAGATCCGGAGACCTTTTTTTACTGGAAATGTGGCATTCCATCTTAGTCCTCAGGGGTGACAACGTATCTGCGTTTTGATTCTTAATCGAGGATAGATGTAGATGTCTATGGGCCACAGCATTCACTTACCATCAGGTGGACTGTGTGCTCGTTTGTCATCCTTATTTTATAAAATAAAAAATAAAATAAATCAAAATAATACATATTACACTCATGCAAAAAGTTACAATATATAAAATATTTGATATATATTTGACATTTGTGTATCGTGCATAGGCATATAATGTAAAATAAAAATTTATGGGTAAAAATATATTTCATAAAGTATATACATATTTAATTTATACTTGCGATTGCTGTCACTTGGTAAACTTAAAGTGTAAGCTAAGTTTTTTTTGGACTGACATAGTCCAACGGATTTGTAAGCTGAAGTGTCAATGGGCCGGCCATATAGCTCGAAGAACCGACAACCGATGGGGAAGTAAGGTTCTCGACTGGCAGCCTCGTACCGATAGGCGTAGTGTAGAGCGACCCCTCACTAGATGGAATGACGACCTGGTAAGACATGCAGGAAGTCGATGTATGCAGGTGGCTCAGGACCGTGCTTTGTGGCGTTTGTTGGGGGAGGCCTATGTTCAGCAGTGGACTTGTGAGGGCTGGGGCTGTAATGATGACGATGACCGGTTTTTATAATTGGTATAATAATCATTTAAAATAGATATTGTAAAACTAGTACAAGTGTTTATTCAAATCAAAAATATACATATTAATATTAATTAACTACCGAGAGATAATTTTGCCATCATTTCTAAGTACCGTCAGTTTTAAGATTTTTAAAAACAAAACAAATTCTATGTACGTTAATTACCTGCTATTATCTATAACGTTATTTCTAACTGCAGTCATTATATCTCAAACAAAATTCCACGATTTTATTAAGCCTACCTGGGTAGATGGTTAACAAGAACAAAACAAAGAAAATTACTTTTAGTGTTATAACACTCATTAGTTTTGTTCATTTTATAATCCTTGTAATTTGTGCGCGCTAATAAATAAACTACATAATCTTTACGACGAAATTCATTAAGTACAAAACAACAAAATTTTATTTTAATTACACGGCTAATCTTTATTTTTTATTGTAAACTATTATATTTTCATTATAGTAATAAACCGATACTTTAAATATTTCTTGCAATTAAAAGAAATTTCATTTGCAACTACCTTAATATATTTTTAGTGTTTGGCTTACATATTAAAATAAATGATCTCTTTGTTCCAGAAAATGATCATGTCTCATGCGACGTCGTAACAACAGGCTTTTATACTATTATTGGTCACAAAGTAAGCTTTTGAAAGGATATTGTAAAAATAATTTTTCAAGGGAATGGAAACTTTTTTGTTGATTTATTTACTTTTGTATGAGTATAATACAAGAAATATTCTGACATCGTTTATGTATGATGACAATTATTACAATCTAGTCATCTTTACTTTGTGTTTGTGCCTCATTGTGTAATAATATACTAGTACCTTAATGTAGTACGAGTTTTATGGTTATAGTAATAATATACTAGTACCTTAATGTAGTACGAGTTTTATGGTTATAGTAATAATATACTAGTACCTTAATGTAGTACGAGTTTTATGGTTATAGTAATAATATACTAGTACCTTAATGTAGTACGAGTTTTATGGTTATAGTAAAAAACTGTATACACTGAGCTAAACCATTTGTTAATGAAAACTGTGTATGTTTTTTTTATATACCATTTTTTATGGTATTGTATAAAATATTATGTGGTCTAAAAATATAGACATTCGACTACTATTGCACCTTATTAGGACCATTGCAGTCTTCTGTTGGTGTTATATAAATTATTACGTTTTGTTAAAACAAAATAATTATTGAATACCCAATTTTTTCTATTAAAAGAAATGTTTGTCAGAATTTAGAACAAACTCAAGTCTTAAATATATAACCCTAACAAGAAAAGGTAGCGCTGCGTACTATTTAAGTGATGCCTAAACTTTGCTCAATTTCTTAACACACACATCCTTTTCTTCTCTTTATTTTAACGCAAACAGCCATTAACAAAAATATCAAGTTTATTTTATTTTATTTTACATTTCATATTCATCTTACATTATTAGACTCTTAAATCTAACACTACTACTTACTATGTTATACGTAAACATTGCAAAGCGCGCATACATTATTTGTCGTATCATGGCTACATAAGAAATCTTATAAGCACCCTCTCTCGTCTCGTCCATATCGTAAGACCAGAAGCGGTATAACCCTCATACCGGAAATTTCTGGACCGGCAGCATCAGCATCAAGGGTGAGAGAAGTACGTAAGATCGATCGTAAATCCGCCTGCTAAGCGAGGCAATCACGGTGAGTCCTTTCTACCACGGAAGAGGCACGTGTATAGACCGTTTAGATAGAGGGATGGTGACAATGAGAATGAGGGGGCTTACATTTGTTGAACTTACATACAGTACCCGGTTGACCGAGCTTTGCTCGGTATATTTCGCTCGATTTTTTTTTATTTCGTGTGTTTTGGAAATTATATTTAGATACAAATTACATACTGATGAAATATAAATAATATTTTTTGATCTTAGCGACATAACAGAAAAAACGGAACTGGTTATTTGAATAAAAAAATCATGAGTGCAATTATTTTAATTTAAATTTTCGTGTTTTTAAAAAATACTAAAAAAGGGCTCGAAAAAATAGATTTTCTCAAAAAAGAAAGGATCATGAAAAAAAAATTAAGAAAGTCGGTCGGTCTAGGCTCGAACCGGGGTTTTAAGATTCTGTGACCGACCATAACACCAATTAAGCTACTTATAATCACTAACAATCTGTCAAAATTTACCTTCTTATTCTAACGATATTGTAGCAGTTTTTCATTGCCTAAAAACACGGACAAAAAGACATTTTCTAAAAATAAATCCTAGCTAGATCGATTTAATGCCCCCGAAACTCCCTGGTCACTAAATTTTATGAAAATCGTTGGAGCCGTTTCCGAGATCCCGACTATATATATATACAAGAATTGCTCGTTTAATAGTATAGGATACGCATATACATATACATATAAATACAAGTACATAGTCATATTATAGATATTACACTATTATTAGCAGTTTCTAATACACACAAATACGTTTCAGAGATATGTGCATAGAATACTAATACTCTTTCTTTCTTAATAAGGACACTCCTCGTTTTATACGTGGTAGAGCCATGCTGCAGTTATTTTCGTAGTTGACTGTCCGTTGGTCTAGTGGTTGTAGTAGTGTGACAGCTGATCATGAGGTCCTGGGTTCGAATCCCGAGTCGGGCCAAAAAATTAATCATTGAGTTTTTCCGTCAAGAAATTCTCAGTAGTTACCCGAAGTCAGTAAGTTGGCGGTATCTCCACCCCGTGCCTCGGAAAGCACGTAAAGCCATTGGTTCTGCGCCTGATCTCTCTTCGGTCGTGTCGGTTTACCGTCCCATCGGATTATTAGAGTGAGGGAATAGAGAGTGCACCTGTGCTTGCGCATACACTTGGGCACTATAATCCTGTCCTGCGCCGATGGCTAGCCTCCGTTGAGGCAGGCCGCCGTGACCGAATTTCGGTCATTATTATTATATTAGTAGTATAGTTGTAGCACGAATGGCTCGGCTCGATCGGGAAGGACCACGCTTTCACAGAATACCAGCGTAAAATAGTAGCTTAATGCTGCTGTGTTTCGTATGGTAAAAACGAGGCATTCCATCTTTGCTCTCACTGGTCAAAATGCATCTGCGTTTTGATTTTAATCAAGGATAGATGTAAATGTTTATGGGCCACAGCAACCACTTACCAACAGATGGTCTGTGTGCTCGTTTGTAACCCTATCCTATAAAAACACTACATCTACAACCATGTTGGTTGCAACTTATTTTTATGTTACAGTATGTTTATAAGTTGAGCGTGGTTTTGGCTTACTTTTTGCGTCACTTGTAATGTACGCAGCGCTCCATCTATCTTTATTTGTTGGTTAATCTACAACTAAACTTTTACTGCAAGATGAAGGTTCGTTTTAAATAATGTATGAAATTTGCTTTTAAACTGTTATAAACTGTATTTCAAGCTGTATGTACTGCACATATGTATTTATACTATGTGTGTATATAGTATAAATAATTAAATATCGTCACCCATTTAGAATTTCAACTATCAATTTGAAAAAATATTGAAGTAACAACTATGCTTGTAATAAATTTTATTAAAAGTAAATAGTTATTTTTTTTTTGCAATACTATGCTACCCTCATTTTTCAGAGAAGCCACGAAACACGATGATAGAGTGATATCAGTAATAAGTAATATAGAAGTACATATAATGGTAGCCGTGCACGCTAGGGTGTACCTGACAGTATGGAGTATAGAAGTAAGGAGTACCAACTCCCATAGTAGAATATTTGAAAAAGTGGCCATCTGTAAACAATAAATAACAGTTCAAAAACTCTCCACAACAGCGCTGGAGTAGCTACTGGGATGAAATGAACTTACAGTTGCCGATGTTTGAAGTGTGCTGCTAAACTGATCAGTAGCTCTAAAATATAAAATAATTTTAATTTTTGTAAAAACTTGACAAATTCGTCTATCCCACTAATATTTTTCGGCACGCTCTTTTAAATTTACCCCGTAGCTATAGTGGCGCCACCCTTATTTAACGGTTTTCTATGGACACTTTTTAATACACAGTCTGTACTCCTTACTTCTACACTCAGTACCTGACAGGTTTACCTGCACAGTTAAACTGTACAGAACCGCAGCGTGTATATTGTATAAGTGTGCAGGTTTTCACACCTGTATAGGCAACCGGAAAATATATGTACTATGATATTTTTACCCATGGGTATACTGTGCAGTTAAATTGTCCAAGCAAAACTTAGAGTGTGTGGCGGTCGCCTGCGCAGGCGTCAGTAGTGGCATGGAAGAATATTTGACATTCGTATGTTCTCCCTTTTGAAAGGTATATCTTGACGTCACTGTTAACCTTTCATAAGGCGATATAGCTTTTCTAATTACTGTAATCCTGCATTTGAATTAAAGGAGCTACCGCTGATAACAGTTTTAGAATACGTAACTTTTTATGAGTTTGGAAAGGCTGAATCACCCTTAGTTTATTTTTTAAATGTAATTTAATAGCTCGTAGCTGCTGTATTTATGATTATTTCACACAAGTATAATATACAAGTACAATAAAAAACAATTTTAGCCTCTAGATCTTTTTTTTAAAAACTTACATCACTATGGTCAACTAAATCTAAGAAAAACCTTTTGACCATGGAGTATAGAGGCAAGGACAATCTCCCATAGAAGAATAGTTGAAAATGTGGCCATCTGTGAGCAGTAAATAACGGTTTAAAAACTCTCCACAACAGGTATGTTAAATCGCCGTAAAATACGTTGAGAGTGGTTTTGAAAATAAAAATTTCGAAGGCAATAAAATAATTAATGTTAAAAGAATTATGTTGAAAGTCTATGCAATAAAAAATCATAAAAAGTTCTTTAAAATTTAGACTTCAGCTACAGTGGTGCCACCCTTGTTTAGCGCTTTCCTGCGGACAATTTTTTATATGGTATATATTATTCTACTCTATGCATTAATCATTCCGCAATAAATTTGCACAAGTGTACTCAAATGATTTAAAAATAACCTTTAACGTAAATCCGAAGAATTATGAAGTTATCTATATTTCATTACAACCTGTATAGTTTTTTATCACTGATATAAATTCGAATCTTTCAAACAAAGCAAAGTATTAAAAAAATAACCAGTGTCAACTTTTTTTTACTTGTAGTTTCTAGAGACGAAGCGTATATACTAGAACAGAGACTAAGTATTTAACGAGAGTAGTTTCAACTGTCGCTATGTAGCTTACCGTAGTGTTTTGGATGATTAAAATTCATTGTTATGCGAATAATCGGCAAAAATATTGAAATAATCGGTAAAAATATTCAAATAATCGAATCATTAGTTTTTTTTAATGTATTATTTGTTAAATTAAATTTTTATTTTTAAAATTCCTTAAATGAATCATGAATAAAACAAGTTTAAAAGTCCAAATTTTTAAGTCATCCGCATATAAGTACACATGAGACTATTTCATCAATTCTGGAATTTCATTTACGAACACCCCAAAAAGAATCGTCCCGAGATGAGACCCTTGGGGCACACCGGAATTAATATATTTTAAACCTGACTGATATCCATTCATCACTACAAAAAACGCTCGGTCCTTTGAATATGATTTTAGCCA